GGCGAGCTAAAGTCACTTTAAATAAGCTTTTCAACCTGCAGCCGAGAACCGCCGGGCGACTGGCCAGCCATGCTGCTGACTCTGTGACTGGCCAACCATGCTGCTGACTCTGCGCCCGTGCCTAAGCCACTCTCTGTACCCATTTCAAGACAAGGCAGTTCGCAGACAGCTCGCTTTCGCCGGCGGTGATGACAAACGACGTGCGCTGCCTCCAGCGGCCGTGACAAATGCCCTGATCCAGCCACCGCGCCCGGGCGCTCAACGGCCGGATAGCCGGGGTCTGTTGACCCGCGGGCCCTGTTTGTTCGGCAGCACAGCGCTGGTGTGTGCTCGCGCGCGGTTCGCGGGGCTGCAGCGGCCACCGGCGCGGCACGGCTGAACCCGCCGCGTCATGCCGTTCGCACTCCATTGAGCAATCCGTCGGGCTGTTGCCCCACCTGTCTTCGATAGTGGGCGGGCGCGGGTGACGCTGGCCGCTGGTTACAAGCTGACCAGTCCGGTCGGTCGGCTCCGGTCTGCGGGGCGCCGCCGTCGCCCGTGCGCGCCTGAGCTCGTCCGCCGGCGGAGAGGGGTCAGCCGGACCGCGTGGCCCTGCCGCAAGGCGACGGGCGGGCGGCGGCCGGCCGGCGCTGTCGTGCGTCGGTCGCGGCGCACTGTAGACCCGCCGGCCCGCCCTGGGAAAGGACTCCCGTGTGGACTCCCGCTGGACTGCCTGATGCCGGTTGTCCGGCCCGTCCGCCTCGGGCGCAGCGGCGGTCTGTTTTGCTGGGAGAGCGGGCTTCCAGCCGAGCCCTGTCGGCTGACTGATGAACCCTCAGCGGCCTGTCAGCCGGGCCGGCCGGGTCAATAAGGCACAGCCCACCCACTGAGAGCTCCCGACTGTTGACCGGCGCTGGACACGCGCCCCGCAGGCTCCGTCGGCTCAGGAGGGGCGTGGCGCCCAGACGAGAGGCTGCAGCCGCCGCCCAAGTGTCCGGGTGGGCGCGGCGCGCCCGGAGAGACTGGCCGACGGCGCCTTCTGGCTGCCGTCGGCCAGATTCGAGGTCGCGTCGGGGCTTCAGACATGGTCGTCTTATCTGGTCTGCGTTCGTCTGAACCCCGCTGAGCGTAGGAAACGCGGAAGAGCTCTAGTGTCCCTCCTCCAGTCGAGTGCCGATAAAAAGACACTTACTGTTCATAACTGCTGTGAGACAGCCGTTTCGTTAACTCAAGGTATGAATAAGTCTAGCGCAAGCCAAGTCTGTCATACAATAGGCTTGCACCTTGCTGGCATACTGCCACCTCAGATGCATAAAAACCATTTGGTAAGGTTATTTACTAGTGAAGCTCGTGCCTGTCTGTCATCGCCCACTAGCACTACTTCATTACGCGCTTCTCCTTATTTTGAACCGTTGCTTTCTGGTAAGATTGCTATCTGATAACTTATGCATAATCGGTATGTTTCCTTCGCATGTAATGAACAAAATTGTCAGCCGGCATATTGAGTTGTGTATCACCCAGTATGGAGTGATGTGGTGAATGAGACTCAATCTTCAGTACAACTTGGGAAATATCTATAGCAGAGTGCCTGCGTCGCTGGGTGCTTTGCCGTCCATGCCAGATGTCCTTATGCCCGTCATCACAATGGCCGCGTACTCCACGTTCCATGTGGTTCCGTGTTCCGGCCCCCGCACCCTCCGTTACAGTCCGCCCTGCTTCGTGACCCCACGCTGGGACGCGCCGTGTCATACCGGTGTGGGGAGAGGCGGGGCGGGGCGGGGCGGAGTTGTTCTTGAGAGAGTTCTTGAGAGTGTTCTTGCCTTGCCAATGGGCCGGCACTCTCGCTGTGCCCGGGTGTCGGCCCGCCGTGCTTTGGCCGTGCCCGGGTGTCAGCCCGCCGTGCTCTCGCTGTGCCCGGGTGTCGGCTCGCCGTGCTCTCGCTGTGCCCGGGTGTCAGCCCGCCGTGCTCTCGCTGTGCCCGGGTGTTAGCCCGCCGTGCTTTGGCTGTGCCCGGGTGTCGGCCCGCCCTGCTTTGGCCGTGCCCGGGTGTCAGCCCGCCGTGCTCTCGCTGTGCCCGGGTGTCGGCCCGCCGTGCTCTCGCTGTGCTCGGGTGTCGGCCCGCCGTGCTTTGACTGTGCCCGGGTGTCAGCCCGTCGTGCTCAGGTCGGCTGGCGCTCCGGCGGGGCACTGTTCGGCGGCGGAGTGCCGCGGCGTGCCGGTAGGGGTCACGGGGCGCCTACAGGGACAGCTCTCCGAGGGCGTGGTCTGTGGCTCCAGAAAACGGAACCAAGCCACAGTTTGATCACACGCAGTCAGTCACTCAATTTTAAATTATGCCGAGCGAGGTACTGGCTGGTGACGTAAGGGGCGTTAGCATGAATGTATATTTATGTGTGTACACCTAAGTGAAGGTACAATTTCCAGCGCACCGCCCTCGGTACATTCGATCGCGGTTTCCGTGCTGTGGAAAGGAAACTCATGACATTGAAGCTGCGGTGCGAACTAAGCTGTCGATGTGTGTAGCGAAATGGTGTACAAGGTGTACAACGAAACCTCGACAAATGCCCACAATTCTCGTACCTAATTCAACCGTGAATTGTTTGCACACCTCCGAGGCAAACGCACCAGCTGGTTGGCCGGGGCGTTTGGTTCGCTCTATGCTTGAGTGCACGTTGTGCAGATTGAGCCCTGAGAACAAAAAGGTTGGCTTAAGCCGCCTCAGATGTGATTGCTTGGCATGGCATTGTCCATCGACACAGGAATGCCAGCCTCGTTACGCTGGTATTGTACCCAGCCGAAACGTTTTGCTGTGGCGTGCTTTGTATTCCGGCGATGGCTTTAAAATGTTGAAAGTTGTTCTGCGATGTCTAACACGTCTATGGCCTTAGATCAGCCCTCGGTCGCGCTACGCCGGACGAAGAGTGGTCTCCTCTGGATGACGTGTAGGTGCTGGCCATGCGTGCCATGCCTAATGCCCACCTATGAGCTGTTCGGTCGCCACTTGCGCGCCGCAGTCATTCGGGTTACCATATCCCGTCACTACACCGTGCTCGGAGAATACCATCACCTCGAGCGGTCACGGCGCCAGCGATCATTAATTGCCCGTCACCAGGCGTTTGTTTAGCCCGCATAACGCGGACCACCCTTCCACATGTGCTTCCGCGCTCTCAGTACCTCCCGCTACGGTTATCTGCGGTTATGCGCGGCCACTGGTGAGATCGCCAGAGTTGGCCTGTTCCTCCGCCGTTCATACAGCCTGCTAGCCCCGCCCCTCAGCCGGTGGAGTCCAGCACGGGAATCTGACATTCGGTAATTGCCCCAGCAGCGTGATTTATGAATTTACAATTGACAGTGCGTTCATCAAGGCCGTTCGCCCGGGCGGCTGGGTAATTCGTTTGAACTTTCGAATGCACTGCCGGCCGCCGCTAACGGGACTGTCGGGTGTCGCATAACACGGCCGTCTGGGAGCGATGCCGGGCGTGCCGGGGCTACCGTCACGTGCGCCGTTACGCCGGGCCTGTCGTCACTCACTGGACGCCAGCGGAGGCCAGGTCAGAGGCGCCGCCTCTCCGGCGTCCCGCTGTGTTCAACAGTGGTCAGCTTTGTTCCTCCTTCCTCTTTGCTTATGTTTCCTCCCCATTCCCTATTTTTCTCCCACCCCGTTTATCTCCTCTTGTTGAGTGGCTCAGCGGAATGGATGCTAGTGTCATTGAACGTCTTAACGCAACTCCTGGAGGGCTGGCATGCAATTTGTGCAATGCTGCCCTTGCTGGAGACAACACCACGAGTGTTTCGTCGTCCCATTTGCTAACAAATTATCGTGACATGTCTCGAAGCTCAAATGAAACGGCGCGTGTTGTTGGGAGTAATAACAAGCCATGCGGGAATAACGGCGCGGGAACACGTCGGCCCATATTTCTTGCTGGGACAGGTGGGCGGACGTGTTTGGAGCCTGTGATGGACCACGGCCACGTCTCGTGTCCCCGTTTCTGTGACGTCCAGCGCACACACGCCCCGTATCGGGGAAATAAAAGAGAGATAACGAAGGGATAGAATTACTGGAAACATTCCTTTCTTGTTGTGGTATGGCTGCTCTAGCCTATGAGCATCCCGACTGATCCCAGCTATCTCAGAGTGTATCTGTACGCCCGAGATGAGCGTGTGGTTAGATTGTGGGAAAGGCAGATGGAAAGGCCTGATCGCGTCGTGGATCAATCAAAAATTTGATCTGGGATTGGCCGGACTCCCAGAATCCTGAGACGCCACGCCTGGAACCGTCGCGCGTGATCGGACGTCGGCTTCCTAGCGAGTCCGCGGCGGGGCTGTGGCCACCTCCTCCCGCGCTCGGCCGCTGCCGCGCTCGCCAGTGGCCTCGCGCGGCGCCGGGCGGCGCTGATGGCCCTCGAGCTCGTCAGCCCGGTGCGTGGGAGCGGCACACCTCGTCAGCGCGACTGATGAGCGGGCCCGGCGCCGCTCGGCCGACCGAGCCGGCCACAGATGGAGACGGAGCGGCCGCGCTCGGTAAACACGGCGCCGCCGCCGCCGCCGCGGACGCCTCTCTCGCTAGGCATCGACAGTGTCCCACCTGCGCCGACCCGCGGCGGCAGGCCTCTCGTCTGACGTGACGTCACACCTGGGGCGGCGACGGCGCGGTGCTGACCCGCGGCTCCGCTTCTGTGCCGCGTGACCATCTCTGACCTCTCCCTGCGGAGATAGCGGCGGCGAGCGGCCGACCGCCGTTGAACGTGGGATGCAGATATTTAACTAGTTGTCTGTACATACAGCCTGTGTTGACGTGATGGCTCCTGGGTGGTGTCCAAACCCATCAGGTGTCGAGATGAGGGGGCGCGCGTGGCGCCGTCTCGTCGACATGAGTGCTGACGGCGGCGTGGCCAACGGCTCACCCACGTCCGGCGGTCGGCAGGTGGGACCGAGATGACCGTCTCCATGGAGCCTGTGACGGCCCCACGTCGGCCTCTGCCGCCCGCGCCGCTGGGCTGACCGCGTCCCCTGTCCGCCAGACTGCCCGCCCTGCTACACGCTGGTGCAGGAGGCCGTAGACGCGCACCGCGTCAAGCTGCAGCAGCTGTCGGCGCTCATCTCGAACGTCACGGATAACCCGGCGCTGCCCGACGACCGCGAGTTCGAGCAGCGTCTTCAGGAGGTGGTCACCGTCACCGAGCAGCTGTTCAAGTCGGCGGAGCAGGCCACCAGCGGCGAGCGCTCCCCGCTCGAGCTGCTCGACGAGATGCAGGTGAGTGGCTGGAGCGGGTCACGCGGTGCGCCGGGAGACGTCCGGCAGGTGGGAGATCTCCGACGGGTGCTATGGAGTCGGGGCTGTTGTATATCATGCACGAGCGCGCGTCTCCGTGAGCCTCTGGGAAGAGCGGCAAGACATGAACGCTGCGAGATGTTTGTGAAAACCGCTGCCCGGCCTGACTGCGTGCAGGCTTTCGTGCAGATTAGCGGTTATCTAACCAATTTGCGGTTTCAATTTCGCCCTATTAGAGATAATTGCTACGTGCCTGCCAGCCGAGACTCACAGCTAATTAACGCTGTCCACGCCATTGCTTATCTCAGCACTGATTGACGAATTACCATTGGAAATAACGAATTTGAATTCCAAAATCACCCTGCATAATTGCCGAGCGCCATTAACATTACCGGAGCTGTCCGAGAATGGGGTACTGGCGTGCCGGCCGGTCGTGCGGTCGGTGCTGGGCCGGGCCGGAACCGGGCCATAGCGGGGCCGGGCCGGAGTCGGAGCCGAGGCCGGGCCAGAGCCGAGGCCGGGCCAGAGCCGAGGCCGGGCCAGAGCCGGGGCCAGGCCAGAGCCGGGGCCGGGCCGGAGCCGAGGCCGGGCCGGAGCCGGAGCCGAGGCCGGGTCAGAGCCGGAGCCGAGGCCGGAACCAGAGCCGAGGCCGGGCCAGAGCCGGGCTAGAGGAGGGCCGGAGCCCGGCTAGACCTAGGCCAGAGCCGGGCCAGACCCGGGCCAGGGGCAGGGTCGGACCGGAGCCGGGCCGGAACCGAGCCATCCTGGGCCAGAGACGGACTGGAGGCGGGTGGGAGCCGGGCGCGAGCCGGCCAGAGCCGGGCCAGGTCAGGCCGGGCCGGGCCGGGCCGGGCCTGTACCGCGTGCGGCCGGTATCGGGGCCTCACTGCCGGTCCATTGTCCGCTGGCACGTCCGTTTGCCGCGCCTCGCCCGCGGCCCGAGCGTCGACGGGCGGCACCGTCCGTCTGATCGGCAGGCACGTACCGAGCCAGCTTTCCACTTTCCTGCCAGATTTATGCCCGGCCCACTGCGCGTCTGTCTCTCATGTTCGGTTTGTGGACTCTCAGTTGCTGCGTTTGTTCGCGAACGGTGCGTGATTTTCTGGCCGAAGGGGAGGAACGTCGCCAGTATTTGACCCCAGGGACAAGCCGATCTTGTCGCCAGGGTAAGCCAGTGTTAACGTGAACGGGGTAAGCTGTTGCTCAGAGAGGGGAAGGGAAAACCGTCATGTTGGGATCATGTCGAACCGCGTGACGTCGTATTTGATGACGCCAGGGGGTGAGGAGACAAACAAATGTTTCAGGGGAAGGGGTGAAAATCCTATTCTCAGTGTTGCCCCCCCCCCCCCCCTGTCTGATGGTGCACTTCTCGATGTGCCAAGCACATCGCTGTGTACCTTCACTAACTTGCCGTCATGTGTAATGTTGTCTTAGAGAAAGTAGCTCCCCATTTAAAGCCGTTTTCCGCTGCGTATTAGCCCGTAGGAAAAACAATTCATGCTGACCACGACCTTCTTTGTCCAGTGACCTTGTGCGGGCATGCTTCTGATACAGTGGCCTTGTGCGGGCATGCTTCCGATACAGTGACCTTGTGCGGGCATGCTTCTGACACAGTGACCCCCACTGGTAATGCCCATTCGCCACGCGTAGCCTTTTCTATTGTATTTGCTGGCGCAAAACTGTTTTGCTCTACCTTTCTCGCTGACTCTGACTCTGGGTTGTTTCTCGTACAGAATGTACAGAGTGTTAGTTCTCCTGACTGACACTTAAGCTGGTTCCTCTTACAAAGTCGCCCTTTTCCCGACTGACACTTTGGCTGGTTCCTCTGACAGAGCCGCCCTTCTCCTGACTGACACTTCGGCTGGTTCCTCTGACAGAGCCGCCCTTCTCCTGACTGACACTTTGGCTGGTCCCTCTGACAGAGCCGCCCTTCTCCTGACTGACTCCGACTTGTCCCTCTGACAGAGGCGCCCTTCTCCGGTTCTTCTGACCTAGACTGGTCTTTTTCCGTCTCAGATGGTATAAAGCTGTTGTCCGCCCCTGCTGGCCGAGGACCACCCTTCTCATTCCCTGCTGACCTAGACACTCCTTCTTTCCGCTTCCGACTGATTTAGTGCCGCTATCTGCTTTGTCCGATGCATTAAGGCCGTCTTTTGCTGCCGTTCATGACCTCGAGCTGTCCCTCCCCATCTCCGCGGACCTGGAGCCGCCGTTCTCCGGCCCCTGCGTCAGCTGACCTGCCGTTCTTCGGCCCCTGCGTCAGCTGACCTGCCGTCCTCCGGCCCCTGCGTCAGCTGACCTGCCGTATTCCGGCCCTGCGTCAGCTGGCCCGCCTTTCTACAGCCCCTGCGTCAGCTGACCCGTCGCTGCTCCACCGCAGGAGCGCCTCGATGAGGTGAAGCAGCTGGCCGGCAAGATCGCGACGCACATGGAGGAGACGCGCGTGCTGTCGGTGCAAGGCGAGCGCAACACCTCCGAGGCGCAGCAGCTGATGGAGCGGCTGGAGCAGGTGGTGCGCGAGACTCAGCTCTTCCTCGAGCGCGACGGCGCCGACGCGTTGCGGCGCGCCGTCGAGCAGTCCAAGCAGTTCGGCATCCAGAGCGGGCGCATGTCGGAGATAGCGCGCGAGGCGCGCGGCTTGGCTGACCAGCATGAGCTGAGCGCCGACCAGGTGGCGGACGTGGCCGACGCGGCCGTCACCAACGCCACGGCGGCGTACGACCTCGCCTATCGTGTCATCGAGCAGCAGCGTAACTTCAGGTGGGGGCGGCGAGAGTGGGTGGGAGTGGGGGGCGAAGGGGTGCTGTTAACGTGCGGGCCTGAGGAAACGAATGCAGCGCGCGACTGAGAGGCTGGAGGAGGTGCTTGCCGTGGGTGACTGGCGGACGGGGTTGTTGTGGTGTAAAGGTACGACGTGCTGAATTATTCGTCCGTCTAGTCCGCCAGAGCTGTCTCTGTTAGTTGTCTGATGTCGCTATGTCATGGAGAGACAACGAGTTTGTGAATAAGTTGTTGCTGTGAGATTCATCGCAAAATCTTGCTTTCTGGATCGTTGACTTCATGACAGCCATGCTCATGGCACAAAGTGCGGTAACTCGAGCTGCGGCACCCAAATAAGCCCGATCACACCAACTTTCGCCTGGCCGCCGGCAGCAATGAGATCCAGCTGCTGCACAACAGCCTGGACAGCACAGAACAGCTGATAGGGCAGACGCGCGGCCAGGCCGAGGAGGCGCAGCGTGACGCCACCGACGCCTACGACGCCGCGCTCAACGTGTACGCCGAAGCCAAGTCCGGCTTCGCTGACGTCGATGTCGACAGCCTCAAGAAGCGCGCCGACGAGTTGAAGACCGAGGTAGGCACTCTGCGGGCCGCGGCAGCGGCGCTGTGGTGCTGCGCGGTGAGGGTGGGGGAACGGTCGTGTCTGTGACGATCTCCGGCTGAGATCCCGAAGGGCGCAAGGATGGGTCTTGTGATAACCCCCAACGAGGGGCTCGGCGGCTAGCGAGGGAGGTGGCTTTTTTGTGATGGCCTCAAGGTACGTGTTCACAAAACGATTGCGAGACATAAGCTGGGGGGGGGGGGGGGGGCCTGTAACAATGTCCAGATAAGCGCCAGTGAACGCCGGAGACCAGTCTGATGACGGCCTGTAGCTAAGCATGCGGCAGGGGCGCAGCAGTTTGACATGTCGAGGTAAATCTTGGGGAGGACTTTGGTCAGTCGCGTGACAATCTCAGAGATCACACAGGTAGCCTCAGACCTTCCGTGACACCTCCGTCAGGTATCACTTCAAAGAAACTCAAGGTAAGCCTTCACTGAGAGCGGGATTCGGCCCAAGTCACCGACGCAGCCCGCTGCAGCCGCCTTGCAATAGCGTGTGTCTGTACAAACATCCCACGCGCGTGCCCCACGCTCGGCGGAGTTGATTATGCGAAATGGCGCTATCAAGCAACCGCTGTCAAATTTGCATTGTCCATCTCTGGCCGTTTGCGCTGGCGCCGCTGCACGGCGTCTGGCCGAGCGGCCGCGGCGGTGCATCCCAATGGACTGGCGGGGGTGCACTGCCATTGGCAAACTGAACACGATCCTTGTCACTACGCGAAAGCCGCGCCGAGACGGAGCGGTGCTGTCGCTGTGGTGGGCGTCACATCAGCGGGAGCGGGTCAGGGTCTGCAACGTGACGGCGGGGGTGCGTCAGGCGTGCGCCAGATACGGGCGTTATCGAGTGCGATTACACGAGCGTCAGTCAGCATCGGGTCTATACCTGGAGTCGCCCCCCTCCCCCCCCCCTGTCGCCAGAAAGTGTTGGAGTCCAGGTCTTTGTTTTCGAGCTTAACCTGAGCCGTTGGTGTAGCTCGGGTGGTTGCCAGTTTACGGTGCAGTTTCAGCCAGGCTCCTGGTCGTACTGAGGCCTCCCTCGCACGAAGAACGAGTGTGCAATGACTGCGCGCACCACACCGGGCTGACATTTTACTCCTAGCTGTTGCACATATTCTGCAGTTTCCATAGCTCCCCCCCCCCCCCCGCCCACCTGTGCCAGCCCCTTAACCTGTCTGACAGTAACCACCTATCGGGCAGGTGCAACGCCTGAAGGCCGACCTGGAGGTGCTGACGTCGGAGCACGAGCCGCTGCTGGACGAGCTGGAGCAGAACGCCGACACAGTGGCCGAGCTGCTGGACCGTGGCCTAGCCCAGCAGCAGGCGGCCGACGAGCTCATGGCCGACGTGGACGCCGCGCGCGACAAGGTAACCAGAGGGGACCGGTGCGCCGCGCCGTGACGGGACCGTGCTGACGACGGCGGGGGAGAGGGCGGCCGGTCACGGGCTAACACGAAGCGTGACAGCAGGACGGTCCGGAACATGGGGGTGGCGCGGCGATTTGTGTTCGTCGGGGTGCCAGGGGCGACGTAACAAGGAGGAGTGGCCTGTTCGCCGATGGCGGTGGCGCTCGTCGCGAGCAGTGGCGATCCGAATACGAGAGCGTCCGTGGTGGCGCCGGCCTCTTGGGCGTCGTGTAGCCATGCAGATGCACTCCGCTGAGCCACAGTGAGCACCGCCATCGTGACCCGGTACCGGGCGAACGTGTGACGACTGCCGCTGGCCGACAGGCGGAGAAGGCAGTGGTGGCCGGCGAGAAGACGCTGGAGGAGGCGCGCAAGACCTTGGAGACGCTGCAGGGCTTCGACCGCCAGGTGCAAGAGTCGCGCGAGCTGGCCAGCGAGGCGCTGCGCGAGGTGGACCAGATCGCAGAGCAGATCGCCGAGGCCGAGCGCAAGACGGCGGATGCGCGCGAAGCACTGCAGGGCGCCGAATCCAACGCCGAGTTCGCGCGCGACATGGCCGCCGAAGCTGAAGCCATGGCTCAGCAGGTGAGTTTACTGGGCCGCTTCGCAGGGCGCCACGGGACCAGTCCATGGCTGGAGCAGCAGTGGCCGGGTGTTGCTATTGCCAGAGCTCGACGGGCCGGCCGCCGCCCAGACTGGCGTAATGGTGTGGAGCATTTTACATTCGGACTAAGTGCCGCACGTGACGTCACATTTCGAGTGGAACTTTCGGCAACCGCAAAGCTGTTTCACCTGTGGACAGTTTGGCGAGAAGCTGTGACTTATGACATTGACAGCACGACACAGCGGTAGTGTTTGGCCCGTGCACAGCGGACAGTGGCATTCCAAATTGGTTGTAAGCCGCGCTAAGCGCTGGGTTAGATTCTTGCAGCGCCTGTCCTGACATCGGTGGCGCGGGGAATGACCCGACCGCAGGCAGCCAGCGGCATTCACGGCCGCCGTGCTGACACGCGGACGTCGCTGCCGCCTCTTGCAGGCGCAGCAGGAGGCCACCGAGATCCAGACGGAGTCGGCCAAGACCAGGGAGGAGGCGGACGGCCTGCGGGAGGCCGCCGTCGGCATGGTCGTCCAGGTGTCGGACACCACCGCCAGCGTGGAGGCCTACGAGCAGCAGGTGGGTCATCGTGCGGGCTGGCTGTCGCCGCGAGCTGCGCGACCGTCCCGAGCAGCAGCGGGCTGACTGCGACAAGTCACGCTGGATGTGAAATATTGCTGACTGGGTGCAGACGATCTGGATGTTCGTGGGTTTTGGTTGGAGCTTCTCCTACCCGGTGTGTACAGTCTCGGAGCTGTAAAGAATCGAGTAATGTTATGACATTCTTCGTCAACCTAGAGTTAAAGACCCACTCATCAGTTATTAGCGAGTCCTCACCGCACTAGGCGGAATGTGGCGTGCTGAGGAAGGGCTGACGACAGGGGCGGCTGCCAGACCAATCCGACGTTGGAGACATCGCCCAAGTGCTTGTTCGATGGGGCATTCGGGAATACGGGACTGGGGATGATACAGGGTAAAAGCATGGATGCGTCTGAGCTGCCACAGAGGGACGCTGCCAGCTAAACGTTTAGAGTTGAAAGGCTGCGTTAGCCTATACCGGTATCTGGTTGTTGTGGTTGGTGTTCATCTCACGGGACAGTAAGCGGCAGCTCCAGGGACTTCGGAACGGTGTCTGAACGGTTTCGACAGTAAAACTGATGTTTCTTTACGCTTGTTCTGGTAATATGTACGCGGCGTATTCCAGTGGTCAGGCAAGGACCAAATGCGCCCGCGTTTCGACTCTGGCAACCAGCTCGTAACGTTCAGTTCTTTATCAAGACGATAGATGGTGTTAGACCACGACAGTTGCTGACATCACTCAGCTTGGCTGGGTCAGCTTGTTGATTCCTCTGTGTGCCCCCTCTAACCCTGTCGCTTCTCCTCAGCTGAGTTCAGACAGCAAGCTCGCGCTGGAGGCCCGCCAGAAGGCCAACCAGGCCAAGTCGAGCGCGGAGGCGGCCTCGGCGAAGGTGGACGCGGCGCTGGCTGTGGTGCGGGAGGTACAACAGGCGCTGAGGGCCGCCGGCGACATCGACTCGGCGGCGCTGGACCAGCTGGAGAGCCGACTTCAGGAGGCGGAGCGCGAGCTTGACGAGGCGCAGCTGCAGCAGCGGCTGGATGCGTTGCGCACCAACCGCACCCAGCAGGACCGCATGGTCAGTGGGAGGGGACAGCGAGACAGCATGGTCAATGGACGGGGTCAGCGAGACAGCGCGTTCAGCGGGGTGGGCTCAGCAGGCCCACGTTGCCAGTGGGGCGGCATGAAAAGGTCCCAGTTGTAGCTCTCGATTTGAGTACTCCTAGGAGCCTTCACGCTCCTGTTGTTTTGTCCGAGAGCGTTCGGCTTTATGTGAGCTGCGTTACCAAACAGGCATCTCGGTATTCCTAGCTGCGAAAATCTGTTCCGCAAAAAGGCAGACCGGTCGAACCCACCGCTAGGCCTGGCAACCTCTCACACCTCACTCCGCCTCGCAGCTGCGCGACTACGAGGAGCAGCTGGCGCTGCTGCGGGACGAGGTGGCCAACATCGAGGAGATCGCCGACGCGCTGCCCACCGCGTGCTACGCCCGGGTCAAGCTGGAGCCCTGACGTGGCGGCGCGCGTCGCTTCACACAATCACCCCACTGCCTCAGTGCCAAAAGACAGCGCGCGCGGCGGTCGGTCGAGCTTGCTTGCGCGGCGCGGACGGGGGCGCGGTGGGACCGCCTGCCGCGGGCGCTTCTCTCACGGGGAGGCCCGCGCATGCGCCTGGGCGCCCGGCCGCGCACTGCCACTGGTGCTATTTGAAGTATTACCCCGTTTTTTACTCGATGAGCTGCGTCGTGACTCGTGTTGTACTGAGAGAGGCGGGGTCGTGTTCGTGTCGGCCTTCGTGGTAAACGATATGCATGCCCGTCAAAATATCGCCGGTGTTTGATGGAATACATGCCAACTGTCAGTGGGCTGGAGAGTTGTGGGGCTTGTCATGTGTCATCATAGTTTGATGTAGTCGTGAGTCTCCACGAGGAGGAAACTTTGTTCTCGGTAGATCGATGCACCACGTTT